AGACTAATTAGCTTAAAATGCTATAAATTACACTCTTTAAGGTGTTAACTTTTACTTTAGTTTTCCTATTAGCATTAAAATAAGCTAATATAAGAACTTTAAAGAATAAGTTTTAAAGCTTTTAAAAGGCTACTTTACTCTTAGAACTAATATTAAGCTTTTAACTTTTTTCTTACTTTTACTTTTAACTACTCTTTGCTGCGTCTAGGCCCTTTTAGGTTAGCTTAGTAAAAGGTAGGGTAATTAGAGAGAAGTTAGCAATAAACTACTTATAGTAGTTTATAAACTCTATAAAAACATAAATATTTTAAATAGTCTTTAGCATTAGCTACTTTTAGATTATCTTAATTTTTAAAAGGTTAACTTTAACTTCTTCTAGGTAAACTATGTACCTTAAGTACTTAGTCTTTTATGTGTAAAATTTACACTTACTAATTTTTAAAAAAAGCTTTACTTTATATAATTTTTATAGCACTTTCTTAATATAAACAACTTGTTCCTTTTTTATGTTAGAATAGACTAGAATATTGTTAAGGTACATAATACACGTTACATTAACTAACCCTGCTAAGGCCTAGTTAATATAAGCCTAGAAAGCTGTAAGAGCATTAGTAAAACTAAAAGGCATAACTTAGTACTTAAAATAACTATATTAAGTCTAGAATACTATCTTCTACTTATCTTCTTTACAAATACATAATATATAGTACGCATTATAGATATCTAGCTTTATATACTACTTTGCTTTTCTAAGTTTCTTAAAAGATTCTAAGATAAGTAGTAGTAAGTAATAATTTTTTATTATAATTTAGTTTAAGCTTTTATAATATATATAAAGCTTTAACTCTTTATTTTCTTTTTTTATAAATAAGATTAGAGCTTTTATAGAAAACTTAGATCTCTAAATTTACTCTCTCTGCAGATAATTACTAATATATTTATAAAAATGCTGTAACTTATACTCTAATAAGTTATATAGTAGTTAGTAAAGAAGCTTTATCTTTTCCTCTAGCTTAATAGCTAGATCCTGCAGGCTATGTAGTAGTACTTCTAACATTTTATTAGACTTAACTATGTCTGCATATTTTTTATACTCTAGTCTTAACTTAAGCTCTACAGGTCCTAAAGAATCTTTAGTGTTATTAGACAGTACACTGCAGATGTAGACATTTATATTAGAACTTTATATAGTTTGCTTAAACTCTACTGCGTCTTCTAAGGCTACCTTAGCGTACTTTAGCACACTATAGTTCTTTACGCCCCTAAATAATATATGTCTTATATAAAAGTTTAGCTTTAGATTAAACTAATTAACTTAAAGTAAACTTAAATATATTAAGGGTCCCTTTAAGTCTATTACTATAAATAGCACTTTATAAGTCTAAACTTTTTCTTAGAAGTTTATAATCTTTATGTTTATAACTATAAAGCTGTAGACAGCAAAGTCTAATTTATTAGGTGCCTTTAGAAAGACACCTAGTAGGGGCTTAATCTTAAGATCCTGCTTCTTAGCTATTATAGTAGACAGGATGTTTAATTAAGCTTTTTTATTTACTACAGCTTAAAAGTCTTCTAATAACTCTATGCTTACTATTACTAATAATAAAGTTAACTTTTTTAGGTATAATAAGTCTTAAAAGTTTTTAAGCTCCTTTTTATTACTTTTTAAGGTAATATAGGCTAAGAGGAAGAAGCTTAGTTTTTTTAGCCTTACTCTTTTTTTTTCTACTTATTCTTGTTAGACTTATTTTTATTTTTATCCTTTATAAGACAATCTAGGGAAATATAACCTAGCTGCTTATAATTCTAGTAAGTAACTTTTATTTTATTAAATTTTTACTTTTTTTTAGCTTTTTTTTAGCTTAAAGGCTTTTTTTATTTTTTTTTAGGCTTCTTTAGGTCTTTATTAGCTAAAGGTAAAGTAGAACACTTTTATGTTTTTTTTTTTTTTAACTTTAGCTCTTTTCCCTTCTGCAGGCAGTAGTAGGATATGTTACTTTACTTTTTTACCTAAGCTAGCGTCTCTTGCTTACTTTATAGGATATATGTTAGATTACGCTTAATCTTGTTAGATAGTGTGCTACTAAAGTCTACTATTATTCTATCTAGGCTTTTTTTATTAACTTTAGTCTATAATAGCTTAAGGTAGGCTAGAAGTTTAGTTAGAAACTAATTAAGTTATTATTTATAGTTTTTTATAGTGTTATAAGCTACCCTTTTTTATTCTGCTAGAGTACTTAATATATTAAGCATCTTGTTTTTAAGATCTTGCTATGTTAGTAACTATAATAAGTTAATAAGCTTTAAATAAGTGTACTGTGTCTTTTATAGTAATTATAGTGTCTTATTAATATATTATAAGCTAAAAGAGATCTTTTATAATTTTTAAGCAAAGCTTAATAGACTTTTTTAGTAATAGTCTTTATTATCCCTACACTACTAGTTGTAGTCTGCCTTGTTCTTCTTTTTATATTAGTGTAGTAGTTTAGGACGCAGTAGGTTTACTTAGGCTTAAGTAAGTTTTAGTATAATAATATTTAATACCTTAGTTAGCAACTTATTAAGCGTGTCTATATTACTTACTTTAAATTAATAATAAATTTCTATTATCCTAGCTAGTTCTTGCGCTTCCTGCTGCTCTTGCAGCTAGGCGTAGGCTTCTGCTAAAGCCTAATTCGCAGGGGTGGACTGTGCGTTGCTTAGTCCTGCACTAGCCCTTCTAACCCTTTCTAGGCCCTAATCACCTTTTAGATAGCTTAATAAGCCTAATTTATAAAGATTTTTATTATTTTCTTTACTTATCTCTTATTCTGTTCCTCCCTGTGTTAGTGTTAACTTTAGTTAAGTATTACTAAAAGTAGTAGTCTTAGCTAGCTTTTTAAGTAGTCTTTAAGCGCTAGTTGCATTTAATTCTTCTCTAGCGTTTTGCTTTAACACTATTATATAGAAATGTTGCCCTTAAGCAGTATGCTAGCTTGTAGAGCAATTTAAATGTAAAGATAGGATAGTAAGTAGCACAGATAGCACTAAGAGCACGCTTTTAAAGAAAGATAGGAGTGTATTGTAAGAGAGACAGATTGCTGCCAAGCTTCGCTTGTTAGGATTCATGCTTATATACAAAGCACAGGTCATACGACCTCCAAACAGGTCAGGTGAGGCCATACTGGCCCGTTCTGGGACATCCGGCCTTACAACAAACGCCTTTTAGTAGATAAGCGCCTACTTTATAAACAAACTCTTACTAACACAGTTGTGTAAGCAGAGCGGCAAAAACGCTGCTAGAGAGAAGGGGCAGCGGGTTACAGTCTATCGTTAGACTAACATAACCCCACTAATAGTGCTCTATAATCTAGCTAGGTTAGAACAGGGCTTGTGTACAATCTAATTAGAAGATGCAGAAGCAACGCAGCTGCCCACAGTTATAAGAGAATGCATTATCTGATAGGAAGGTAGGCTATAAATTAGCAAGCTTAGTAAGCCTGTTACTATAAGCTTATTAAACTTACACAACTTGTTCTTAGCACCTCTAGACATGTATATAGTTTTAACCTTAAACAACTTTTAAGAAAGCGTATTTAACGTTTAGTTTATTTATTACATAGACTAAGTAGCATTCTAGCTTTACAAAGAGCTGTAATACTATTTATATATCTTGCAACATATATACCTCTAATTCTGTCGAACAGGACTGTTTAACCTAGCTACTATACTGCCGCTATAGGGACAAACCACAATCTAGTCACCCTCCTAAACCCTGTTAGCCCATTAGCCATTACGTAGGACTGTACACCCTACCGTCGGCCCCTACCTCCTGTCCTATCACCCAAGGAATAACATTAACCCAAGTGCTTCCACAAAGCAAGGATTATAACACAAGACTCTGTATAGCCTCAAGCCTTACTATTATTAGAAATAAATTACACTATAATAATTATATATATATAGGTTATTATATATTAACTAAAATTAATAGTTAGTTTAATTAAAAGTATTAACTAGGGTAATAGCTTTACATAAAATTTATTTATAATTGTTACGTTTATTTTACTAGAACTCTACTAGAGTCCTACTAGCCCACCTACAGTTACGTGCTAGGCTGTATATAGCTCTAGTATCCGATTCTTAAGATTCCTTAAGGATTCGTCTTATATATTAATGTAATATATTATTACCTTCTTAGTATTTTATACCTTTTTATCTATAGTATCCTTATATTAATAAATAGATCTTACTTTATTGTAAGGGTATATATGCTATTCTATACACAGAACGACCACTGGTTTACTGTATCCTTTTGCAAGATAGCATACTCATCGAGTGGTGTAGAGCTTGGTTGTGACATTTATATAGTTATTATAGAATTTTAAAAATAAAGCTTATATTAAATAATATTTAGATTTATTTTATATATATTAAAGAATTTTAAATCTTTTATTAGTTTCTAATAACTTTCTAAATTCTAATTTTACTTACTTATTTTAAATTCTTATAAGCTATTAATAATAGGTTTTACTTTTATCTTTCATAAGAATATTTTCTTTAATTAATATAACTAAGTATTTTTAAATTTTTATAAGATTTTCTTTTATTAACTTTTTATTAGTTTACAATTTAAGGAGTCTTATATTAGATAGTTATTTTAAAGAAATAAGGCTTTTAAGATAGGTATCTATAGTTATAATAATTTAAAAGAAGTACTAAGAATATTAAGGATTAGTTAAGTAAGAAGATAGTTATTTTATAGCTATAGTAAGGAGGTATATTTATCTATTACTAATGATTTATTTTTAGTTCTCTGGTATAGATAAGAAGAAAGAATGCGAGGGAAGGGGGGGGTGGGGGGGGGGGGTTCCATTTTCGGGCCCCCGACCCTGAGTAGTTTAATTACAAGGATGTGAGTCCAACAGAGATTATAGAAATAAGTAGTAAGTAGTTTTAAATATTAAAAAATAAGCTAAGTAGTAAAAATTACAGGTCATGTAAGCGGTTGAACAAAGTCAATGTTGTCGCAAGTGTATGGTGAGTTTGCATTGATAAGAAGAATTCAGTCAAGCTTAGCGCAGCGATTAACTCCATGTTCCGGTGGTATCAGAACGCTGTGCGCTGCTACGTCTATCTTTCAGATGTCTCTAAACCTGATAGGGCAGACAGCGAAAAGGTATGGAAAGAAGCCTTTAGGACGAGCCGATGGTTTACCCAAGGCTGGTGGCTTCAAGAGCTCATCGCACCAAGGCTGGTTAACTTCTTCAGCTTAGAAGGCGAGCGACTTAGAAGTAAATCCATGCTTAAGCCTGAGATACATGAGATTACTGGAATTGCGAAGAATGCCCTTCAAGGCGATATATTGTCGAATTTTAGCATTAAAGAGCGGAGGTCCCGGGCCGAGCACCGCAATACCACTATTGAAGAGGATGGAGCCTACTGTTTAATCAGGATCTTCAATGTTTCTATGGCGCTAATCTACAGAGAGAGAAGGGATCAAGCATTCCAGCGACTAGAGGAAGAGATCCACAAGTTGTACAAGGGTAAGATTCTGCCTAGATGTGCTGACAGGAGCGATAACCCTGACCAGCACAGGTGTCGACTTTGAACAATTTGCCGTCAAACTCAACCTTAGATCATTTCCTGAAGCTGCACAATTTGTGGCTACACAATTTGTGGCTAGAGAGCAGGAGCTGTTGAAGATGTATGAGCTGCTTCATGGTCACAACAGCCGAGCGGCAGTCGTCCTTCATGGGCTAGGAGGAATTGGAAAGACTCAGCTGGCAATTGAATACGTCAGACGGCACAAGGAGAAGCACACAGCGATATTCTGGCTAAATGCGAATGATGAAGACTCTCTCCAGCTCAGCTTTCGCGGCATCGCTCAGCAAGTCCTAAAGTACTACCCCTCAACTAGAGTGCTTAGTGGTGTAGACGTAGAAGGCGAGCTCGATCTAGTGGTCAATGGAGTCAAAGCCTGGCTCGATCTCCAGGGAAATACACGTTAGCTAATGATCTATGACAATTACGACAACCCTCGAATTTCCAATCATTCCGACCGTTCGACAGTGGATGTACGTCAATACCTGCCGGAGTGTGATCACGGCTCGATTATCATCACAACGCGTTCAGCGCGAGTTACCCAAGGTCGGCGTCTCCACGTTCAGAAGCTGACAGGCCTCAAGGACGGGCTTAAGATCTTGGCAAACATGTCTAGAAGGGTAGGCATTGAAAGCGGTGTGTGATATGGGTATCAAATGAGTTAGTAAGAGCTGGCAAGGTAGATCCTGATGCAAAAGTGCTCGTCTCGAAACTCGATGGCCTGCCTCTCGCTCTCTCCACGGCTGGGGTTTACCTAGAGCACGTGACCACGAGCTTCGCAGAGTATCTCCAGCTGTATGAGACATCATGATCAAAACTCCAGATGACAACTCTAAAGCTAAGCTCCTATAAAGACCGGTCACTATACACAACATAGCAGGTAACCTATAATTAGATACAAAATTAGAACGCAGCATCAGCCAAGTTGCTTAAGCTGTGGGCCTATTTCAACAAGCAAGACGTGTGGTTTAGACTTCTTCAACATGCATGCTCTATAGACAATAAGTGGATACAGAAGCTTACTAAGGATGAATTAAGTTTCAACAAGGCAGTTCAACTGCTCTGCGAGTACGGTCTAGCTCATCCAGAGCCTTTACTTGGACAGCTGTCTGGATCCGCGGGGTATGGTGTGCATAGTTGTGTGCACTCATGGGCAATATCTGTTTTGAACGGCAAATGGGACGATGGTCTAGCGCGGCTAGCTCTGACTTGTGTGGCATCTGAAGTTCCTGACACGGATGTAGACAAGTGGTGGCTCCTGCAGCGGCGGCTCCTTCAACATGCTGCGAGGCATCAACATTTTATTAGGAACGGCAACCTAGGCATCGAGGGGACTGAATGGGCGCTACACAACCTGGGTATGCTCTATTGGAACCAAGGCAAGCTGGCGGAGGCGGAGGCCATGTACGATCGGGCGCTGCAAGGCAAAGAGGAGGCACTCGGACCGAAGCACACATCGACACTCGATACGGTCAACAACCTAGGCAACCTCTACAAGAACCAAGGCAGGCTGGCGGAGGCGGAGGCCATGTACGATCGGGCGCTGCAAGGCTACGCGGAGGCTATTAGGCCCGAGCTGCTGCTGTCGTATTTGCCAGCGTTGAACACAATGTTCTCCTTCGGTGACCTCTATGTGCGGACAAGTCGTATAGACGCGGCATAGGAAATGTATAGTCGGGCGTTGGCTGGATACACAGTTGTCCAAGGGCCTTCTTCAAAATGGTGCGAGAAGCTTGAGGATCGACTTCAGGGGTTGCAAGTTGTTTCTGCTAAGCTCAATGAAAACCAGGCTGAGTTTACAGAGATCAAAGCGACGAAGTCGTGGTCTCTTAAGCGTATATTCCGCAGGCTAGGAATAGGTTCAGGCGCGAGATAGGTCGTAATAGCAAAATTATATCTTAAATTCTCGTCAGCGCCCTTGTCCAAACCTAAGTAACTATAACCTCACTGTCGGAAACTTGATAAGTAACGTTACAATATCAGAAGGTGATTAAATATATAGTAGGCAACATACGCCAAAATAAGAAATACGTTCTACTACCACATACGCACTACTAGGGCTCTCTAGGGTTCTGTAATAATCTCATTCGTCTCAACCTATCTATCCTTTATCCGCGCAACCTTGGCCCTGGGCTCTGAGAGATCCGTCCTTACCGTAGCAGTCGTCCGCTTCTGGACCCGCTTTCCCCCTCCCGTAGCAGCATCCTCTGCTTCTGGGTTAGCCTTCACAATTTTCTTAGCCTCCCTAGCCGTTTTCTTGGCCGTTTTCTCCGCCTTTGCAGCCTCCTTCACTACATGCTCTGCTCGTGCTTTCTCAAGGTCCTCCTATGTCATCACCTTCGCCTTCCCAAGTATTGCTGACTTGGTCGATCGACGGGCTTTGTCTTCATCGTTCATTTCAGTTAAGAATCTGTTTTAATCATAAAGGAGCGCTTTTTTGGCAAGAAACATCTGAGCAGCATTTGACAACTTTGTTAGAGCCGCTCTTTGCGCTGGTTGCTCGCTTCATCTTTAGGAACGTGCTTAATCATATCAAGTAGCGACTTCAAAGCCTCTCCTGATACTAGTGTAACAGGCGTTAGTAATTCTGTGTAGTGCCAGCAAGTGCCCGCTATTACTTCGTTAGCTTTCAAAATGGTTTGCTAGGTAGGTAGTTTTAGTATATCAACAAGAACTCTGTCAGGGTTGAACAGGAATAACCCGCTTCCTCTCCATCCTGCGAGAATATTCCTTTTAGTTAAAGCCGCCTCTCTTGAAGGGCCGTAAAAATAAGTAAAATGCTGCTTGCCAATTGTATTAACGCCTTCTAAGGGGAAAATCCTTGCGCATATAGCTTAAGTATGTTCTTAATAATTACCTACTCTTTATTATTACTTATCTTTTATAAGTTAGCTATAAAATTAACTTATAAAGACTATCTAGTATATTAGCTATTTATTATCTTTTACAGAACTAGATACATAGCTGTAGCATATTACTTTAAGAGTGTTATGTCTTATGTAAACACTTAGAGTGTAAGCTATATCTAACATTCTTTTAGCACGTCTAAGTAGTGTTATTAGGAATGCATTAGTATAAAAAAGGTAGTTTAGTAGGGTCTTTGTAAAAGTAAGCAACCTAGGTAAGCCTAAGAGTGCAGGAAGCAGAGGTATATATACAACGCTCTTAAAAGAAAGTAGTAGACGCATTACTCTAGTTAATTTAGAGCACTTTTAAATAAACTTTTTTAAAGCATTTATTACTTACAATAACAGAGCGCTTAAAACACTCTATATAGTGTTTTCTATAGCTGCTTTTTTTTAGGTAGCCTTAACTAAGAGCTTATAAGCTTCTAAAAAAACTCTTAAAATAAAAAAATTTATATAAGCACTTATATAAAGATTTTTTTAAGATTATAGCATAAAAAAAAATAGCTACCCTACTTAAAAAGGCGCTTAGAAAAATATTATATAAACTAAAGTAACATCTAAGCTGCCTTTACTAAAGTAGGTATTTACATATAAATTTAACTAGAATAGGTGTTTTACTAAATGTAAAGGTTACATTTGCGTACATAGTAATCTCTAGAGTAAGGACTTACTCTAGTTAACCTATACTGCTACTCTTGCAGCTAGATTCTTCTAAACAGTAATAGCAATAGCAGCTTAATTTAACCTAAAGATTAAGTAATATAATCTTATAAGCGTGTTTTTAAACGCGTACTATAAAGGTAAGCTAGAAGTAACATGCAAGCTTCTAAAAGGCTTTACAAAGCCTAGCATATATGTTAAGCTTCTATAAGCCTTATATAGACTATGTAACTTACTAATCTTATAGTACTAGAAGCTTTTATAAGCTTTTTAGAAGCTTAAGCTTATTTTATTTAAAAAAGAACTATACTTATTTTTTAACTTTAATTACTATATCTTACTTCTTTTTTATGTAGATAACATACTTTATATTTATTACTATAATAATAAGTTAAAAGCTTACTAATTACTTAATATAATTAAAAAATTATATAAGCTAAAAAATTAAAGGCTGTGTAAATAGTTTTTAGAAATTAAAATAATTAAAAATAAAAAAGCTAGAATAATCTAGCTAGTACATAACATATATATTAAAAAAGTAGTAAAGAAGTTTAACTATATAAAAAGTGCGCTCTTTCTAGGCACTTTTTTACTATTAGAAGAGCTTATAAGCAACTAAGGATTAGCATTAAAGCATAAAATTAAGGAATACTAAAAGCGTGTAGGATTAACACTTTACACTGTAATTATAGTGCGCTCTAATGTAGTGTTTACAGCATCCTAGCTCTTCTACTACCTAATAAACCTAGGAAAGCAGCACTTCTAGGCAGTAAACTAGGCAATTGTGTACCTGTATTGCATAAGGCATACAGGCATACAGTACAGAGCACTAGAAGGCGCGCAACTTATTATGTGTAGAGACATGTCTTTTGCTTATTACATAAAGACTAAATAATTATTTTATAAATATATTATCTTACTTTTTAAAAGACTAATCTTATAAAAAGTAGCTTTTTAGCTAACAGTAACTATGTTTATAATAAAAGCTAAGCTGCTTACTTTAGTGCACATTATAAAAAAATTACTGGCTCTAAAACGCTTCTTTAAAGAGCTTACTCTAGAGCTAGGCACACTATAGCAGATCTACTATAACAACTAGTAGACAATCTAGTTAGTAGTAAAAAAGAACGCCTAGATAACTACCTACCTGCGCTACATTAATATCTAGAACATATAGCTGCGCTAGAAGCATGCAAAAGATCTTTTAAAGTGCGCTATATTAAAATAAGTAACATGCTAGTAGATAGACTTATAAAGCACTTACTAAAATAGTAATTTAAGCACTTTAAGTAGCTTTTAAACTTTAAAGACATATAAATAAGCTTTTAAGAAAAGAAATTATTAATTATTAATAGTAAAGATATCTTTACACTGCCTAGAAATAAGAGAGCTATCTACTAGCAGAGACACTCCTCTATGCTATAGAGATTAAGCAGGGATTTAGTACATAAGATGCGCAGAAACATAAAATGCTTAAACTATAAGAAGGTTAACAAGCTTACCTAAGAGCTTCTTAGCGCGGTGGCGACGCGCCAGGAGCCTAGGGGACACGTCATCCTGCTCCTCCTTCCCCTCCCCCTCTTCTATCTCCTCTACTTCCTTCTCCTCCTCCTCCTTCTCCTTCTCCTCTTCCTCCTTCTTCTTTACTACATCTTTTTTAAGCAGAGCTTAAAGAACTAGCTAAAGCTAGAACACAGCCTATAGCCTGTTAGTCTAATCTAGGGTATAACACATAATCTCTGCGGAGAAGCTTACCTGCTTGTCCTCCGCAACAAGCGCCGCAACAAGGCGCCGCGCATACACAACAGCAACAGGGGGACTGCAAATAAGTCAAAAGCTAGATCACCCCACACACTGCTACAGGGCTTACAGCAGCAGGCAGCTGTGCCTAGAGGAACAGCGCCAGCAGCGCGAACCGCTAGTGGCGGAATTATAGCACTCCCTACTAGAGCGCCCCGCGAGCGCACTCTTTATGCAGCCCAGACAGGACTGCGCGCGGAGCGCACCAGGGGGAGGCCGGCGGGGAGTCGAGGCCGGAGCGGGGAGCGGGCGCCGGCCGGGGGTGGTAGGCGCAGGGCGGCAGGGGGCAGCGGGCTTGCGGGCAGCGGGCTTGCGGGCAGCGCGGCCCCGCAGGGCACGCGCGCGAGCAGCTTGTTTAGCTTTATTAAGCTTTATACACACATTAGTAGAGATTACAGACAGGTTTAAAGTTGTTTTTAGAGCTTAAAAGCATTAACTTACACGCAGCATGTTAGTTAGATCTAAAGAACAGGAGCTTAGGGAGTAGCAGAATTTATTTACCTCTGTTGCAGCAATCACAGCACGCACGTGACCCGCGCTGCCTAGGAAAACGAGCATTGCGCTGCCTAGGGCAACAAGCACAAAAACAGGGTAAACGCCCAGCGCTGCTCTAACAAGCTAAGGTAACGCTCTACGCAGGTGAGCTGCGCAGCAGCTCACCTGGGTGGTGTGTCGCGTATACAGAGAGCCTTGGCTGGGGCTCGGAGCCTGGGACTGGGGCTCAGAGCCTGGGACGCAGCTCGGGATCTGGAGATATTATGTTCCGAAGCTTGGTGTATATAAGGAGAGCCTTCAGCTCTCTTAGATAGCAGAGTCACTTCATCTAATCTTCTGAACAGCTACTGCCAGGCTCTTTTATCCTCCACACTTACTTTTTTAAATAAAGTTATTATAGATTTATTTTTAATAAAGTTTTTTTTAAGTGCTTTACACTTTTTTTTCTCTTTCTTAGTACTATTAGCTTTAGAGCAGGCGCGCTTTTTAAAAACAACTTTAGTCTTAGCAATTTTACCTATAACACTACTATGCGTGTATAGATAGTTGTTGTACAGGATTTTATTTTTACTATAAACTATTAAAAGCTAGAATAGAGCTAATTAAGCTAAATTATACTGTAATAGAAAAACTTATACTTAAAAAAACTAAATAATAGTGTTTACTTATAATATAACTATTATATTAGTCTACACTAACTAAATAGAGTTAAGTAGATTAATAAAAAATAAAATAATAAAAATAGTGTTCTTAAAAGCTTATTATTTAAGTTTTAAGGACATAAAGAGCTATCTAGAGTTAGTATAAACAGACTACGCATAAATATGCTAAACAGAGCTAGAATGCGCACCTTAAAGCACTTTTTACAAAGTTTAAAGTAATAAGTATACTGTATATACTTAATTTTTTTTATACTATAACATAACTTATTATCTAAGAGCATATAATAGCTACTACTCTTATTTATAATACTCTTATAAGACATTTTATTAACATATTAAATATAAAAGTTATTAAAACATAAGTTTATATTAGCTAAAGCTAATTAATCTTTTTTAAAAGAAACTATAGCTAGACTATATTAAAGTAAGCTATAAAAGCTTATTTTTAAGTTATTAAGTAAAGTTAACTATAAAAAAAAGCTAAAAGTAAATTAAGTAATAAAAAGGTGTAAGTAAGGTAGAATAGAACTATTAAAGCTTATTAGCACCCTTTTACACTAGATTATGCTAGAGTAGCTTAAAATATACTTACTTTAAAAAGTTTAAAATCCTCTAAATTCTAACTTATAAGAAGAGAACAGTTATAAGAGAGATAGAGTTCTAGAACAGTTAGACTCTATTTACACTGTCCTAACTGCTACTTTACTAGTGTAAGATATATGTTACGGTCTACGGTTGGACCAGCGTAACTCCACCAGCAGTGCTCCACAGTCTAACTAGGTTGGAGCAGGGCTCGCTTATGGACCAGTCAGAAGACACGGAAGCAGCACCGCTGCCCGCGGTAATAGAGGAATGTGTTGTTTAGTAAGGGAACAGGCCACAAGTCTAACAAGTTTAAGAGAGCTTATAGAGCTCTTCTTAGTAGACTTATATAAACTTATTCTACTTACCTTAGCACCCTTTATATATGTATATAGTTTCTACATTAAACAACCTTTAAAAAGTGTATTTAACATTTAGTTTATTTTTATATAAACTAAGTAGCATTTAGCTTTCTAAAAAGCTGTAATACTATTTATATATCTTACACTATATATACCTTTAACCCTGTCTAACAGGACTGTTTAACCCTAGCTACTATACTACTGCACATAGGGCAAACTACAATCTAGTTACTCTACCTTCCTCTATTAGCCTATTAGCCTTTACGTAGGACTGTACACTCTGCTGTTAGCCTCTAACATCTGCTCTACTTCTTACTCTTAAGTATTATTAACTTAAGTGCTTTTATAAAGTAAAAATTATAACATTAAACACTACCTTTTTTAAAAAGTATAACTACTTAATATAACTTAGATACTAACATAGCCTACATAGCTTTATTAAGATCTATAGAAGTTCCTACTTAAAGTAAGGCTATTCTAGCAGAACAAATTAATATAATTTAGGATAATATTAAGAAACTTTAATAAATTAAAAAAAAAATAAGTAAGCTAGTAAGCCTTTAATAAAAAATTACTAACTAAAAAGTAATAAAGTTTAGTAACTACTTTTAGCTAATAAGCCTTTAATAAGCTACTAGTTACGCTTACTAGATACATAAACTATAAGTAGAACTAGCTAAACTCTAGAACATTTTAACTAAAAAAGTAAGCATTATAGCTAAGAAAACTTTAAGACTAGCCTTTTTAAAGCTTTTTAAAAAATTACTAAAAGACCTTGACCTATTCTTTATAAAATGCTACTTTTATATATAATATAATAAAGAAGCATTTTAAACTAATGCAGAAATAATATTCTAGATAAGACTACATTTAGAAGGCCCTCTAGCAATCTAGTTCTAGCTACATGTGGACAACTAGATAGATTTTAGAGCTAACAGCGCAACACTTACCTCTAAAACAGAGGAAGTATTTAGTAGTGTTAAAAACTTTAAAAAAGCTCTAGCAGCTACCTATAAAACTTTAAATAAAAAAAATTATAGCTAATAAACTAAACACTTTAAAGCGAAGTAGTAGCCTAGTCTAGAACTATACAGCATGCTTTAGAGAATAATTAGCTATCTATAGATAGACAGATTAAAAAGCTCTCTGTTACATGTTCTATAATAAACTAAGTAAAATAGTAAAAGACAAATTTATATATAGTAATAAGCTAACTACTCTTAAAAACTTTATTATATAAGTAATAACCTATAACAACTACTACAAGAAGTGTAAAAAAAATAAAAAATAAAAAAGAACTTTTTAAAAACTAAAATTTATTTTTAAAAAAAAAAGCTTTTATAATATAATAAAAAACTAATAGACCTTAGTTATGTAAAACATACATAAAGCCCCTTTTTAAAAAAGAACTAAGTTCTAGAACATAATAAGCTACCTCTAATAAAAGAATAATAAAAGTAGTTAAAGGACAAGGCCTACTTAAACTATAAAAAAGTAGAACATTTCTACTAAAATTACCTAGACTCTTAAAAAGAGGAGAATAAAAATACTACTATAATAATAAAAGCTATTACTGCTAAATACAGCCTTATAGACAAGGAAATATTAGAAAGATTAGATAACAGACTTTACTAGTAATGCAAAGAAAACTACTTTTTAAATAGTTACTTTAAAGTGTACTAGGAAGTAGCTATTTAGGACTTTAGCAGCTTAGATATAGTGTTGCAGGACCTTATAATTCTTAAAAAATATAGAGAAGAGACTTAGATCTAAGGATATATTATAAATATTTAAAAAAGAGAGGAATAGTTCCCTCTCTATAACTAGACCTCTAGCACTTTAGTAAAAGAACTCTCTAAATAGTTCTAGAAATATAAATGCTAGAAGTGTAGTCTACAGCATAACTACTTTAACTACTATATAGTTATGCTCTACTAGATAAATATTAGTAATAATTACTTTATATTTAATATAATCTAATAAATAGCTAAAGTTAAGTATAATATTATAAATAAATAAAAATAGTAGTAGTTCTTAACTAAAATCTAAGACTAAAAACTAGAAGAACTAGGCAGACCTACTAGGTTTAAAGTACTAGAGCTAGTATTAGGAAAACCTAAAACACTACTTCTAAGCCTTATAATTAGTAGGAAGGCTTTAGTAATGTAATAAAGTCACAGCTAGTGTGTACTCTGTAGAAACAACACTTATAGCACTAACAACTGCTAGTAGAAGGGACACCCTGTACAGATAGTACAAACACAGGAGTACCCTTAGTAGACTTAGGAGAGCCCCCTTAATACCCTATATAGACCTGACAATTGTCCATACCCCTAGTACTAGTGCACACAACGCTACTGTGTAAAGCACTAGGACAACAAGCACTAAGCAGGCTAGTAGCCTACATAGGAAAAGAACCACAATAGATGCCTATAGCAGGGAACAGCCTTAGCCTGCAAAATTATAAATTGCTATACCTATTAAACAGCCCCCCTCTATAAATAAAAGGGATAAGTAAGCTATAAAAAGTAAAATAACTACAAGTTTTATTATTTCTAATAAAAAGTAGTAAGAAAAAAAGACTATCTAACATTACACTACCTTATAAAAGACTATAAATGCAAGGCAGCTAACTACTATAACAGAGAGCACTAAGTCTATAAAAAAGTAAGTTTAATAATAACTTATAAAATATTAACTTTTACTTTTTAGTAAATTAAAAAGTCCTCTATAACATATTAGCCTTAGTTATAGTAGGACAAGAGGCAGAGCACAGTCTAACTACTACCTTTATGTATAAGGGACAACTAGAATTAGCTCTTATAGATAGCAGATGCACCTTTACTATAATAGATAAAAACTAGGTACAACAATAGAACATCCTATTTTAAATTAAAATAGATTTATTTAAGGTAACCCTTACCAATGCTTCCTTAATAGAATATAGTAAAAAATAGATTAACCTAGAAATGTATAAAGAGAATCTTAAGACCCTAAACATAAAAAATTAGAGATCTATAAATATACTTTTACTAAAAGGCAAGTATAACGCAATTCTAGAATATAATTACCTTAGAAAACATAACCTTTTAATTAACTAAAGAATAATAACTACAAAAAGCTTTAAAAATTACGCACATATAACCTAGTTAGCATACTATAATAACTAAAACTTAGTCTATAAGTAAGTAAAATAAGGTAGTAATTACTACTCTAAAAAAAAAAACTTTAGAAGTTTTCTTATTAAAAACTTAAAGTATAAGTAATAAAGTTAATAAAAAAGAAGCTTAAGAAAGTCCCTTATAAAAAAATTAAAGCTAATAAAGATGTAAAATAAATTAAGATTTTTAAAATTTAAAAAAAGCATCCCTACTAAATATAAAGACTATAAAGATATATTTAAGACGCCTAATAACTTAAAAGAGTTGCCTTTACATTAGCCTTAGAACTATGCTATTAACTTAGTAAAAGACTATAACCTAAAAACACATAAGCTTTGCCCTGTAATAAGGGCATAAAAAGAAGCCTTATAAGAATACATTAACTAGATGCTAGCTTAAGGCTATATCTAAGAAAGCTATAGCCTAGTCGCCTTAGCAGTAGTCTTTGTAAAAAAGAAAGAAGAAAAGATTAGAGTCTATTAGGACTATAAGACTCTAAATAATAATATAATTAAAAATTAGTTTCCTTTACTAATTATATAAGACATTATAAACTAACTA